CCTTCAGTTCATGACAGGTTTCCTAACCTTCCCTGCATTGATAGTCTGTAGGGATATTCCCTCCAACTGTGAAGCAATAATTCCTCTCCTGCTCATGATCCGTCATATATTGATACGTCATGACAGCCCGCTCACCTGTGATATAAACGATGATCATCTCTAATAAAGTCCTGCGCGTCACTGCCCTGGCTCATCTCCATTACCATAACCCCATACACACGCACTCTTGTGAGCCTCCAAGATTACAATTTTGAACGCTGTCTCTTTCTATTTCGTCCACTGTCGGGTTTGCTTGCAGCGCGCACCGTGCAGTCACAAACAGCCGGGTTATTTTCCGTAAGCTGCTTTCTGCTGGAGGCTTGTTTCTGTTGCAAAGGGAATCGTGTCTGCTCTACAGAGTCGATCTCCACAGAGGAGGAAGTGGCTTTAAAGCATCTGTGATGGCTTTTGGTCGTTCATACAGATCAATGGCAGTAAAATCCGTGGAAATCATGTTCATTCAAATAAATTTCTCCCGCTTTTTGACATTGACTTCTGCGGGAATTTGTCTTTGAACCATTTGTGATATTAGTTGCATTGAGTAAATAGGATCATGTCAGCATGATCAAATCAAATCGCATTTTGTCTTTGAAACCATCCAAAGAAAAACCAGGTCACCTGGAGTCCTGCTGTCAGCATCGGAAGAGCAGATTGAAAGCACTTTGTGTTTCTTTGAGGCTAACAGATTGATAGATGGCTATTTCAATGTGGTTCCACAATATTTATGTGAACATAAAATTGGAATAGCATCGACCGGCATGTTAAGAAAAACAGGACAAATCATACATCGTTTGAAACATCATATAGCTTACTACATCTCAGTCTTACCTCTTGTCACATTGGCATTATTTTTGAACTTTGGTAGCTATTCTGGAATCTGGGAAGAGTAATTTCACAAAACCTGACAAAACCTTTTTCAACCCCCAGGAACGGGTTTCTGCAAACCTTCGCAAATATGCATTAAAACTCAGGTAATTAAAACATTGGTAAGTTATTTAAAACTCAAGAATTAGCTCTGTGGAACTGTTAGAACAGTGATTTGGTACTTTAGGAATAATTATTTGGAACTCCATTAATAGCTATTTGGAACTTGGAGAACAATATTGGGGATAAATATTTTGACCTCTGGGATTGACTATCTTGAACTTTGATCATTTGGAATTTTAGGAATAGCTACTTGAAAATGGGGATAACTATTTGGAACTCCAGATTAGTTATTATAAACTCTGGAAGTGGCTATTTGGAAAATTAGGAATAGCCATATGAAACTCACAATATGGATTTGGGTCACTGAGAATACAAATCACTGGTGGAGCTCTCTGCATAAGTTTGCGCATCAATGTACAGGAAGTTGTAGCTGACAAGATATAAACATGCATGTTTTGGTGGAAATTATTTGTATCTAGTATTACAACATTTTAAGATTAAGTTTTACATTTTCACGTTCCAAAACAGCACAGTGTTAATGTTTGCTAATTATAGGAGAACAAACATGAATTCTCTCGTAATCTTGATTTGCCTATTTTTACGTATAGGTCTAAAGTGAAAAAATGGAAATCAGATAATATAGGTAAAGTTATGTTGAATAATAATCCTGAATCTAGTTGAGGGATACATTTATTTTTATGATATATGATGGCAAAATCTAAACTTTCATCCAAAATAGGCTGTTTGCTCAGTGTGTGGACAGGACAGATAACCAATAATAATGATGACCAAATTTATAACAATCCCTCAGGGATTGTTATAAACCCCTGAGGGATTTATAACAGTCTGATGACACAAGCTTTATTTTATTACAAAAGTGACTCAGGTTGTCCAGGGATTTGAATCCAAACAGCTAAAACTAGTGTAAAATGCTGAGCAAAGTACTTCCTTGATGGCTTTTTCTTCAAAGTTATCTAATTCTGAGAGTGCTGCAGCTCAACTCAATGAGAACAGGCTAAAAGCCAACGTTTAAAATACACTCATCGCTGATTAGGGGGGTGGCGACTAATTGCACCCGCAGGAAGCTGTGATTTAGAGCAATTGCAATCGCGGCCTCTTCATCTGAGCTGGCGAGTGAAAGCTTCTAAATCAAGTGTTTAAAACACTGATGACAAAACACCACAGAATAGCATAAAGTCCCTAACGTTCATGTCTTCACTCATCCGTAGAACAGCAGCGAGATGTTCAGTCAACAGATGGACTCGGTTTTCAGCCGTCCTTTGTTGCTCCAGCAACCGCACTGGAGCTCTCACTAACGAGAACAAAGGTGATATGACACTGGAAGTTAGTTTTGTCATGACAACATGCTTGCTTCTGCGTCTTAACAACAAAAAAGAAAAAAAGAAAAGGTCCAGAACTGTTTTTGTTATGTGGAAAGTAAAATAATGCTCTTCACAGAATCGATTGAGAGGTACACATTTGAAGTTTCAAGATTTATCACCTAAAATGGATTTCAAATTTTACCACAATATTTTGTTGCACTGTGGTGTTAACGGTTAAAATGACAAGAACTATTTATTACTTCTTTGTTTTAGTAGTAGTAGTTTATCTGACTATATGGCACAATTTTAGCTCCACAAACACAAAGGTTGCTCTTGAAAAACATTCCAATTTGTAATACACTTCACTAGGTCACCAGTCATACAAGAAGTGTGATTTGTATCATTAAACCACTAACAGTAATGGCATTTAATCAAATTTTATATTTATTAATCCCGACAATACAGACAGTTTTTTTTTTTTAAAACATCATTAATTAGAATTTATTGTGAGAACAATAAATCCCATTTCTTATCATGATAAGAAATTTATCACGATAAATAATGACTGACACAATAAATGCCCAATTCTAACCTAAAATACCACTAAACAGCATTTAAGCTAGCGCTAACACAAGAGTTACAAAGGGTTGGAATACGTTTTAAAAGAGCAGTGCAGACTAAGTTTTGGTTTTAATGGTGAGAAATAAGCCGTGGCAAGTCAAAGAGAGAGGAAAACTGATGAAGGAACAGATGAAAAAACATTCAGGGGTGAGATGAGACGGGCACGCTCAGAAATGACGGTGTGCAGAAGTCAGCCCCGCAGCTGGCCTCGCCGCCTCGCGCTCCCAGCCTGCATGATTGGGAGCAGGCTGATTGCCACCAGAGGCTTCAGATGAACACAGGACAGAAATGGAAATGCTCACCATCGGTGAAGCAGAGGATTCTCATTTGGAAAAGGGGCACCTGAAAGTAGGCTACCTGAAACACCTGCTGGAGAGGAAATTTTAGACAAGGGCGGAGAGTAAAAGATGCCGAATGAAGGCAGGAAGCGAAGAAGTGCTGGTAAACAAGCTGTCCCAGAGAGCAGAGGTGGCAGTTTTTTCCACTCTAAAGTCTTACATCAGTCTTCCTCTACAACAGCTCACGGTTTCCTGGTTGCCAGCGGCCCCCAGAAGGCTGCTTCGGTCTCTAGAGGCTCCGCTCATGATTGCCTGAGTGAAACGCTGCATGATTACCGGGCTATGCACTCAGGGTACATTAAGGAGCAAAGGTGGAAAGATATTCCCTATCTTAAAATCACAGCAGCAGAGCAATCTGATCACCGAAGGATTACACGGAAACCTACTCATTTTCACCTTCCTACAATAATGGCCTCAGTCATTTTTTTTATTTATTTTTTTTTTTGCCAAAAGTAAAATCACTTTAGAAAGGTGACGTTGTGATACGTTGGTTTTCCTCCAGAGATCGTTGGATTGGCTCTTCCAGGTTTTATTTTTTAAAGTTTATTTCTAGGAGATTTGGCTCTAGTCTAGTGTGATCTCAACCCGCTGCTCTTTAGGCAAAAGTACAGTTCAGTTACTATTTTTAAAAGCACCACCGTCTAATTAAAGGGCTGCTCATGTGGCACACACATCAGCCCGTGTGACGGTTGCTGAAAAGCCTCACCCTGGAGAGGAAAGAGCTTTGAATGTTCTCCATCTTTAAAAAAAAAAATCCAATTAGACTGAATCTTTGAGGTTAGCTCTCTGCAGACAGATAATTTTCTAAATGCAGATAAAAGTCTTGGCGGAGAACAGCATGGCCACTCTTGCTAACTAGCTGAGTGTCTAGATATGATTAATGTGGCTTTCCACCCTGGGCGCCATCATTTCAGAGAGCAGCATTAGCAATCAAAAAACGTACTGCTGCCACCTGATCAAGTTCTGTTCTGCTTATTGATGCTGAAGTTGGTATCTGATTGAGAGGTTCCAGCTTGGCTCTATTACAGGGACATTTTACTGTTTTTATTGGAATCCGAACTACATTTGAACATCTCATGTTCATTATCTAAAAAATACGCCACACCAAATAAACTTCTGAACATCATGTCACAGTAATGTGACAGTATAGTTCATTCAGTTCAATATACACACACCACCAGAGACTCAGATTTACAGATAAAATCGCAAATGTAGAGTAGCATCACTTTCCACACACATCTGATGCGCAGTGCTTTTCCCCTCCAGTGTGTGGAACCAGAAAGTGTGAGACAAGAGGATGCCTGGCATGTATAATTGAACAGCTTTGGACACATCGGCTTCTCCCAGAGGCAGCAGCTCAAAGATTAAAAAAGATGAATGGCAGCGGAGATAATCTCGCTATTCCTGCGTGACATGCTGATGTAACAGGTTGTCAAAATGACAGAGCTAGTAATAAGAGATAAAGAGGGGATACATGAATGGAGGATCCATCAAGGAGCGGGGTTATTTTGAGGAATTTGGTTGGAAATAGAAATGCTGCGAATCACAGAACAAAAAGATCACGATTGAATAACAATGGTAACAGTACGGGATGTGTAAAGTGACAACTGAGCCGATCATGTCCTCATGATTCTGTTCATTGTGACTTGAATACCTTAAAAAATAAAGACAATTTTTGCATCAGATAGCGTATTCTTTCCCTGAGGTTGCTTTTGGAACATGGGAAGTTTTTTATGATCTGTGTATCTTACAGGAATGCTGCAAGAACTTCAGACCGAAACGTGTGATGAATGAGAAGACAACATATTGAGGTAGATCAAACATGCAGCACCGTGCAAAGTATTTACATCCTTTAACTTTTCCATAAACCAACATATCTGCAGAGCAGTCTATCTAGAGTTTAACATTTTCTTATATTATTGCGTTATTCCAGGTTTTATTAAATTATTTTCTCTCCTCAACGTTATAAACATTTTGACAATACCGACAATGTTTTTTGAGATTTTTGCTAATTTATCAAAAACAGAAAACCAGTAAATCAGCTTTTGCTTGATACTTTGTTGATGGCAGCAATTAGAGCCTCAAATCTTTTTGAACACGGAGCCACCAGCTTCCAGTCACCTAACTTTATGCAGTTTGACCAGATTTTCTTTCTATTACACCTCCAGCTCCGTCAGGTTGGACGGGAAACATATTTCAGACATTTTCAGATCTTTTCAGTGATTGTTCAATTGGATTCAAGTCTTGGCCACTCCAGTCCGGTGAGCTTGATACGGACTGCCATGTGCCTTTTGTTAAGGAACAGCTTCGGTCTGGCCACATAAATAAAACACTAAAAATACTTAACTTCTGGAGGGTGAGTTTTATGAGAAATTGTTGTTTTTTTTTCCACTGTGTTGCAAATGAAAACAAAACAAAAAGATTTAATGAGCATCTTTAGGAGGATTTCTTCTGCCTGCCAAGCCCTCATAGGCATTTTTAAACAATTTGTTCTGAATGATCCTAGAAAAACTGTTTGTAATACTGTAGTTTACACAAAATGAGGCCAAGTTCCACTTTTCCAAATCATTTTTTTTTCTTAATCCAGTTAGACCCTTCCCAAATTCTATCATCACAGAACTAAAACACAAATGGTTAAACCACAAACAAAAAAAAGACAGTCATGAGAGTGTGATCTGCCAATTTTTATGCCAATTACCGCATAAAGCACAAAAACTAATTCCTACAGAGCCCTGCGGGGTACAGCTGCACCAGTAAAGTAAACCTGCATACGGAGGCTGAGCACGCTGCTCGAGACTGTATGTTTATTGGAGACAGTGATTTAAACAACTTTCATTGTCAACCACGCACTGTTTTATGCACAAATGAAATGTGTGCTGTTTCTTGAGGAACGATTTGTTCGTAACACCGGTCCATTAAGAAAAGCAGTGATTTACACATTAAAGCTATATGCAGACCTCATTTAGACACGAGTCAGTAAAAACTCTATTATTAGTTATCAGTTAGTTATTAATTATTATCAGACACATGTTGGTCTAAGACGGAGCTTAAAATCCACAAAATAAACTCAGCAAAAATGCCAGGAAGCAAAACTCTAAAACAGCTTCATTTGATTTATAAAATAAACTAAGCTTTAACTATGAACCAAGCAAAGTAGCAAAAGTCCAAGATGATGAAAGCGTGAAAAGCGCAGCACCCACCGTCGCCTCGCTCTGCTGTAGCAGCTGAATAACCAGCCAACTAAAATACATTTTACAAAGCCTCTAATGGTTCCTGTGATTCCTCTGACTTTGTTTTTAAAGACCTCGCTGGTACTGAAAATAGCTAACTTTGAGCTCGCTTCCCATGGTAACAACTTCCAACCCAGCAAGTGCGGCGGCTGCTATGCATGGTGCATTCACTGATCAGAATATTTTTATTGGTTTTTTTACTTGTCTCTTTTCTTCCAGCTAAAAACCATCCAAAAGCAGTCAACAGATGTCACTGCATCTCTAACGTTAAGTAGAAAAGAGAAGGCGTTCTCATCATGCATGTCTCTAAAGAGTCTTTACAGATGGAAACAACTGTGAGAAGGAAAGATCTCCTATAGAGGGGTGTGCTGCAGTGGATCAGCAGTAGCCTCTGACTGAAGACGCTGTGTTGTCGAGTTACTGTATTATGAATGTTGTTCAGTCTGTTCTTAATTTTATTCTTCTCCCCACAATTAGCTCTAGAACAGTGATCAGAACAGAGCTTGGCTTTCTCCTGAGCTTGTTAAGCTTTTTTTAGTCACTGGGTCCCATGTTGCTATGCTAGCTGATGATGTCAGAGGAAACTACACTCTAGACAGCAGACTTTTAAAATATAAAGATTTAAGGACCTAAATTAAGCAGGCAACATACACATCTTACATTAACAGTAACATATTTTTGGCACTAATGGAATCCCTACCAATACATAAGCACACAGCAGATACAACATATGCCCCTTAAAGATTCACTTTCCTAAAATAATGGCCTAAATCATTTTTTGCACAGTTTTTTTTTTTCATCTTTTGGCAAAAAAAAGAGGTGGTGATATTTTTTTGGGGGAGGGGGGTCAAAATTCTTTTGGAAAAAAATGACTTGGGCCATTATTTTACACACAAGCCCATTACATAAGCACACTACATAGATAGATGTTTACGTTTACATTTTTGACACTAATGGAACCCCACATTAAACTTCATCCAAAGTCTGTTGTCCAGTGAGACGGCAAATGTGTTTGACATATTTCTACTGCTTCTAAAATCTACACTCTTCTCCTTTTCACATTAAAAATACAACCACAAATGTATTTAACTGTCTGAACTGATGTTTTCTTTTTGTTATTTGTTGCATATAGAAAAACAAACCAACTTTAACAATAAATAGCCATTTTCACTGTTTATTATAATAATCCTCCACATTAGTAGGAGGTTAAGTGTCATAAAGCTCCCCTCATTAGCACAGTCCACTCCTGCAGTACGAAATGTTAAGTAAACAAGGAGGCATTAATTAAATACCTCCACTTTTCTCTTCATCCGAGGGTTGACATGCCGTGCTTATGTTCAAATACTTCATTATGATGCAAAGTTATTCAAAGAGGCTCCCTAAAATCCTATCAGGCTGTCAAATCAATCAAAGGAAGCTGTCAAGGGAATGAAGTTTCTGTCATCTTCTGTTGCTGGAAGCATCCAATGTGGCATGATTTGCGGGGTTTAATTTAATGGGCAGATGTAATTAAAGAAGGTTCCAGGTGCAACTTGTGGATTATGAATAAATCAAAACACGCTGTCTCTTGTTCACGTGTTTGGCCTGGTCAAACCTGACCTCAAGGAGTCCGTTCATTTTTTTTGTGTGTAAAAAAAAACAAAACAAAAGTTGACCTCCATCACCTGCTGCAGCAGCGTGGGCACAAAGCAAATGGAGCAGTGAGTCTCATATGAAGGTAATTTAATACTTTGGTGCAGTGAAAAATACACTTCATTTTTTACTACATTTAAGATCTTTAATTTCCTGTTTATCTGTGAAAGTCTAACAGTAGTTTTGTGTCTGTGAATGGTAAATAGTCACAATTTACTTAGTCCCCCCTCCCCCCCCAACATAGGTATGTATCATTTGTTCTGGGCCATTTGGGGGGGGAGGGTACTGTAAAAGTGTAACTTTTTTTTTTTTTTAGAATAAATACAATTTGTGCACATTTTACTTAAGAATTTGAAGAGGTGCAATTGCTGTATGTCAAATGTAAAATTGCAAAGCCCCTCTAAGATTTTTCTCTCTGACTTCAACTTCTCAGCTACAAGGCACAAATCTTTTTTCATGAAAAATACCTTCATACTCTCTTCACATTACTTGGATCAAACCTGAGAAGCAACAACAAAAATGGATGAGCAACAAAAAATAAAAATAAAAGCAACACGAGAATATACAGCAAGAAGTGCTTGTGCAACAGAGAAATCGAGCTGTTATTGGAGAACTCTCTCCAGATCAGCCACCATGATGGAGACAAAATGTCAGTTAGATATTTGCAGGCCACTGCTCATCCTCAGCTCAATTGGCCTGAGAGAGAGAAAAACACACACACACACACACACACCTTTGGCCACGCCACACACATGGCGCATGCACTGAGTAAGTTGCTCTCCAAAGACTCCTGCTTATAGTCCACACTAAATGGCTTTGTGGTGAGGCTGAAAGCAGAGATGATGAAAGTCAGGAGTGTAACACAGAGCTGTGAATGTTTGATACCAGGAGATGAAATGCGTCTAACAAATCAGCCACAGGGTCCTCAGGTCGGTCAGCTCTATTTCTGTCCTGCTCACACAGACCGGTCAACGCGCCTCCATGAGGGACGGACTGCTGTCCTTGGACGATTTGTGATTGTGAATTTCCCAGTAAAATGGTACTTTAAAAAGTGTTCATGCCCCTTAAGCCTTTTTCCTTTTCTTTACATTACCAGAAAACGTCCCTGTGTTTTATTGGATTTCATGCGATAGACCAACACAAAATAGACTATAGGAAAAAGATACAATAATGAGAAAAAGTATTTACCACCTTACGGATTTGTTTGTTTGCACAACGAAACAAATAAACTCATTTCCATATTAGTTCATCTGCACTTTGCACACAAAAACATTAATCTCTGGGACTCAGCTCCTTCCTGAATTGCAAGATGGCTACACATTACCATGGTGCTTACACTTAGTATTGAAAGATGCATTATGCAACTTTTAGAAAATAGATTTTTACATATTTGTTAAAACTGTCAGCATGTTGTGATAGCATGAGACGGGCAATCTGTGTGAAAAAAATCAAACTCCTCCACCTCCTTGAGCTACTATATTGCCTTCTGAAGAAATTCACCGCTTCCTATAAAAAAACGACCAATTGGAGTCAGGGGCTGGGACTTAGTGCTGTCAATCATCCTCGTTTACGCTCTGCTCAGTGTGCTGAGAAACAACTTACCGTTACGGGAAAACAGTTTATCCACTGTTGAGAAAATAAATTTAAAATAAGCTAGTTTTAAAACTTAACATGTCTTGATTCAAATAGCCTAATTGTGGTTTTAAAATCAGTAACGTATTCTGGCTTTTTGACCTTTATGTTACCTGTAGTTACAGCAGATGGTTTGCTAGGATCGTTTTAACTGCCTTTTGTCTGTGTGGGAAAACAATACAGTAGAAGTTCTAGCTTTTCACACTCATCTGTGAAAAGCCGTAAGCACAACAGGGGTTCCTGGCTTCAGATAAAGGGTCAGAGATAGCTCCTGGTTGGAGGAGCAAATATACGCCTTATTTGAATAAATTAAAGAAAAGAAGATAAAACTTTCCAATACAGAGTAACAAATCAGATTTTGCTCTTGCAACTTCTCCAAAGACGTCTTTAATTTTTGTTTGTCGTTTCCATCTTTTGTCTTTTTCTCTCTCAGGTAAATTCATGTGTTTGTGCTCTGAGGCTTCTGATGTTATGTGATGTGCTTTTCTGGTGATAGTATGCATCTGTCTTGAATAAATGCTGATTATTGTGACGCTGTTATCTCTGCGTGATCTCAGTCCTTGCGCACAGCATTTTTCTGAACCCGGGCATAAGAGAGGATTTAACGAGTCAAAAGGTTTTTAAAGTTCAAGACTTTCTCCTCTCTTAACACCACCGTCATTGGTGGTCATGCTAACTAGCCTTAGCATTCACAACAACATCTGTTCACAAATTGTCTCATGATATACTGTTCTAAAACGAATGACTCCATGCAGTAGGCTGGGCTTGCTTAGACAAATCCCCTTTTTTTTTTGTTATTTTTTACCAATTGACATTAATGACCCACTGAATTTGCTCTGCTTTCTGGGTTATGAATGTGATCCCATGACTTTGCTTTTTCTTGCTCATCAAGGCAGAAACTTCAACTGAAAGTGCAACAGCAGAATATAAAATATGAAAATGCAGCACCAGTTTCAGCTATAAAAAGCATGCAGCACCTACGTTATCAGCCTACAGAGTTACGTCGTGATGGGAGCATTATTTATGCAACGTGTTTTATATGTATTAACAATAATCTTTAAGTACAGTGTGGCCATAAGCAAGGATGGGTGTAACTGTCCAGCATACAAGCCTAATAAACTGGGTTAAGTTTGAAAATACTGGATCAAGTTGGTCCTTTTTTTAGAAGTTCAGGTGAGTAAAAGATATGTAATTTTCTGCCACAGGTAGTGAGAAGCGGGAAAAAATTAATATTCAGAGGCATAAAGCTTTAAAAAAAACACTAAAGAGCACCTTAAGGGAGAGGATAGATAAGAGAAAAAAATCAAGTAAAAGTTTTTTTTTTTTTTTTACTAAGTTTTTAAGAAAACACCTCTCTCTTTTTCACATTTTATTTGCACAAATCTTCAACTAATGATAAACAAGAGAAGATTATTTGGTCAGATTTATCACGTTTCAGCCACTTTGCACCGAATGAAGCCAGATCCATTATTCAGGTAGACTTTCCAAATGCTAGCTTCAGGTTTGAGGGGAGAGCATGGGAGCTCTAAGTGTTGCTTCCCATGCCACCTGAATTATTCATCATACGCATGAAATATGGAGCCGAAACAGCCGGCCGCTGAAAGGCAAGAGAGAGAGAAGGTGGACAGAAAGTTGTCCAGCAACAAATTAATGAGGCAAGTCAACTGAATGAGGATTAGAGGTCAGCTAATCAATCTGGCCGACTGGAATCAGTCAAACACATACGCGCGCTCGCAGGCTTTCTGTCTTCAGTGTTTCCCTCCTTAATGTTGCAATCAAAGCTCTCCGCAGCAGAACAGAGCTCCTACCACACGCTTTCATCAAGGCTTCTCCCTTTTTCTTTCTTTGCTTATCTCCACCTCCACACCGTTGCCAGCAACGCCTCCCTGCTCACTCGCTCCTCTTGCCGCATCTCATGTAGTTTCTCTTCGTCTTCTGTACATCCATTTCTTTAGTTCTTTTTTCTTTCCTCACTATTTTCCTGTTTTCACAAATTGTTTTGTGTCAAAATCCGCACTATGGGCGTCATGTTCAACTGGCTCTGATGTCAGTGTCATTTTCAGCCTGAGGGTGAATAATAAGCAGCTGTGGAAACATCCCAGCTCCACCTAAAATCCATATTTTGTTGTTTACAGATTGTTCCCATATGTTTATATGAAGCCCTCTAAACTTTTTCCACATTTAATCACAAATTGTATGCATTTTATTGGGATTCTGGGTGATTAGATCCAACACTGAAGAGTTGTCCTGTGCAATCCAGTAGCCAAGCAACGACATTTTGTGGACAAATTCACAAACATGTCTTTGTGCAAAGACAATAAAGTAGAATATTCTTATTATTCTACAAACAAAAATTTGTAGAGATTTTAATTGGATTTGTAAATTCAATTCTGAATCAACTAGAACTGCTTTTGGTGTTTGTTCAACTTTGTTATAAACCAATCGGACTTTCTGCTTTCATCCTCACCTATGATCACTTTGAAT